AAGCCGCCAGATCCAGGGGTGCCCACCAGCGCCCCCAAAATCCCACCTCCCCCCCAAAAAAATTCCTCCTCCCTCCCCCCCACAGCTCCCGTGCGGTCGTGGCCCCTTTAACAGGAGACTGACAGACGGCCCTGAATGGCCAATGGAAGGCGTCGTCGGAGCCGGCCGGTGGCTAAACCCCGCCTCCGCACGGACTGGGAGGGGTCGCGCGGGCGGAGAGCGGAAGGCGGGGCTCAAGGAGCGCCGGCCAATAAGCTCGCGGCGTGCGGCGGCTGGGGCGGGAGGCGGAGCCCGGCAGGGGGATGATGTCACCTGGAGCTAGTGGCGCGCGGCGTGGAATGCGAGTCGCGACCCCGGATCCCGGAGGTGGCGCGCGCTAGCCCTAGCGCCGCACGGGACAGCAGGGCTGGACCGGCGGTGAGGTGGGACTAAAGGTTGGATTTTAAGGCGGGGGCGGCTCCCGGAGACACGCGCTCAGGTTGGAAGGTGGGGTGAATGGCCGGTCGGCGAGCGCACCTTACTCTGCACCCCCTGCGCCCACCTTGGGAACTGCACGCGGCACCCTCACCCCCCACGCTGATGATAGTACGGCCTGCAGGCCTCCCCTGGCGAACGAAGCTAATGGTTCGTTCCACCCCGCCCACACAGAGGCTGCCCACCGGCTCCGCAGCTTCTCGGGACTCCTCCGTCAGACCAACTACAGAAGGGGTTTGGCCTTCGCCCTCAGTCTCTCTTAAGGGCAGGGGACGTTGTCTTCGGCTCTGACCCCGCACTCGGACCCAGACCAGGTCCCAGGCTCCGCCTTGTACTTATGCCTAGGAAGCCGGCCAACCACCGCCTTCAGACCTTGGGGGAAAGTTCTGCCTCTGCTCTCAGGCTCTGAAAAGCAGTCTCTCGACTTCAGCTTCTCTCCACCCACCCCCAACATCTCAAGACACTCTAGCCCCAGGATGCAGGACAGATACACAGACACTCAATGAGGGTCAAAGATCTTTAAATAAGGAGCCAGTGACAATAAATACTGTACAGGGGAGGGGGTGAGGGTGAGGGTCCAGATCTGTGGTTTCAGCCTCGAGACTCCAAGGACCTGCAAAGAGGGGGAAGAGAGGGGAGTCAAGCTCAGGGAAGGGGACCTGGGGAGGCATGGGAGAGAGCCGGGCCTGGGCCCAGGGCAGTGGACTGAGGGATTCTGGAGAGTCGGCTGCAGACCTTGGGATGAAAGTGAGCCTAGGAGACCCCCCAAAGGATTTAGCCAGGATAGCTTGTGAGAGCCTGGGTCAGGGGTCAAGGGTCAGAACCCCAGAGAGAGGAGCCGGGGCTGGGGGTGGTGGCCATCAAGGTCCCAGAAGTCACTGGTCTGGTCTGGGACTCTGGGGATAAAGGAGGCGGTGGAGGCCGCAGGGGTGTGGTGGCAAAGGGCTCACGAGTAGCTCTGGTGCTGCTGGCGCCGGCGAGCAGAGCGCATCTTCTCGAAGCGGGCCTCCATCTCCTCCAGCACGCGAGGCGTGTAACGCACCACCAGCTTCACCGAGCCCTGGGCTGCCTTCAGCAGCTCCACTGCCTTCTCGTGCTGCTCACCCTCAACACTCTGCAGGGCGGTGTACAGACACCTGGGCCTGGGGCCTCCCACCCACACCCAGCCCCGACCCTACTGTGGGTGAGCCTGGTACCAGCCCGGGCTGCCAGGGCCTTGTGTCCTTCTGGGAGAAGCACATTCACTCTTGGCTCAGCGTCCTCCTCCCCCCAAACCTGCCAAGTTCCCCATGTCAGGGACAAGCCCTCAAAGCCCTCAGTCACCAAGCCGGACCTCCAAGTCCACCTTTATCCCCTCCCTCCCCAAAGCCTGCTGTTCCCCGGCCCCGTCCCTCCTGCTCTGACTCCCTACTTTGTCCCTGCCACCCTGGCCCCAGTTCAGGCCTCATCTTCTCCCCAGGGACTTTCACCTAGCCTCCTCCCTAGAACTTCTGGCCTCCAGTCTCTACCTTCAGTCCATCCCCTACAGAGTTCCAAAGGGGTCCTTCGACCCCTCCAAGCTGAGCCTATCCCTCCGCTGTTCACAGCCTTCCCAAGGCTCCCCAGAACCCTTGAGATGAAGTCCCAGCTTCCCAGGTTGACACTTGGGCCCTGCATGGCTGGCCCCAAGCCCTTTCTGTTCAGCTCAGAGGAGTGTAGAGTCACAGCCCCGACCTACAACACCCTCAGCTAGTAATACTCTTCTCTACCCTATTTGCCTGGAGAACTCCTCTGCATCCTTCAAAACCCAACTCAAATGTTCCTTCCTCTGCAAAAAACTTCCCTCACCTGTGCTGGTCTGGTGTCCCATTTGGGCTCTCATAATGCTTTGTGCTTCCTCATTATTATCTCCCTGGATCAAGATTATTTCAGTCAGAGTCTATCTCTCTCACCAAAAAGGAGTCCTTGAATACGGGAGCTGAGGCAAACCTCTTTCAGTGTCTCTAGTGGTGCCCAGCACAGGGCTGGACAAAGAGGCAGTACTCAAGCGGTGCATGTTGAATGAATGTCAAAAGCAGGGACTGTGCTAACCTTGAACAGACCGGGAGCCCAGCCTCAGTCCCCACTCACCACGCCATTCACGGACAGCAGCTGGTCGCCGCGCTTGAGGCCTCCATGGCGGTCAGCCACGCCTCCAGGGATGACACGGGAGATATAGATGGGGGAGTTCTGCTCCTTGCCCCCCATGATGTTGAAGCCCAGGCCCTCATCTGTCTTGGGCAGCTCCACTACCCTGGGATGTGCATGGCCCTCACTGGCTGTGAAGGCAGCCACCGTGGCCTAGGAGAGAAAAAGTGTGGGGAGGTGAGGGCCCCTCCCTGGTGGGTGTACGGACGAGGGGGGAGGATCTGGGCCAGGGAGAGCAATTTAGGCCAGATCACTTTCCCCACTCACGGGGCACCTGCCGCCGTTCAACACAAGCTCACACTGTTATGAGTCCCTTTTAGTTCCTTCTCAATGCTTCAGACATCAAAGGGAATGTCTCCATTTTGGTATGAGTGCCTCTTAAATACTCACCACTTGCCAATCTCGATTTTTAACAGAGAAAAACAAGGCCTGGAAGGAACTGAGAGCCTCCAGGGGGCGGCAAGAAATAGCATACAACTATAGTTTACTAAGATTTCAGTGTTTAATGCTATTTCGTTGTATAGGTGTTAAAGGGTATCCTCTTGTCAGGTATGCGGTACTAGCTTCCACTGGCGGTTGCTACAGATGCCTTTATATGACATTTAAGTAAAACGTGAGATTATTGAAAAGATCAGTAAGTAACAATAACGCTGGTACATAGATTCGACAAAAATCATGAAGGAGGAAACGGGCACAGTTGACTTTAGGAAGATACTAAACCAGACCATGCAGTTCAGCGGATAGCGTGGGTGATGGGGTGGGGGGACACCAACCTTGGCCGTGGCGTGGGCCCGGATTTCAGCACTGCCGGTGATGTCCAGCGTGTCATAGAGCTGCTCATACACCTGGTGAGGACGCAGCAGCATCAGCGAGCCACCAGCCCCCTCCTCCCTTCAACGCCGGAGTCCAGGCCCGCAGACCCTCCCACCCAAGGATCCGCCCCGCCCCCGCGACCTGGAGCCCGAGGAAACTACAACTCCCGAAGAAACCCGGAGCTGAAGCGCTGGCACCCCAAGGCGGGCCGCCCCCCGGCGCTGCTGGGAGGCGTAGTCCCTGAGCTCGGGGCGACGATCAGGACGGGCGGCCGCCCGCCTGTGTCCCGGCGCCGCGCTGCTCTCACCTCCCGGATGGCAGAACAGAAGCGGCTCTGCAAGACTCGCTGGAGGGCCTGCAGCTTCTGCGGGGGCAGCTCCCCGCTGCGCTGGAGCCTCTCGAGGAGCTCCACCGCCCGGGACACGTCTGCGGGGCGGGGGCGGGGCGCATAGACACAGAGTCAGAGACACGGAGAAGCTCGGAGAGATGCGGCCAGAAACCAGTAAGGGCGAACGCAGACAGATCCCGGGAAAGACAGCCGAGTCTCAGTCGGACACCCGCAGAGTTGCCGGTGGCAAGGGAGACTGCGGCCAGCCAGGCGCCCTGCGCCCCAGAATCCCCATACGCACGCAGGCAGGGCTGTGCGGTGGGCGCCCCTCCTGGGCCCGCTAGCCCACGGACCCTCCCACACCCACGAACGGCCGACTCGCGGCGCCCCGCCCCGCCCACCCCCGCTCGATTTGC